TGTTATACCAAATGAACCTTAAATTTAATAAATTTATTTGCATTGCCAAAAGAAAAACCCATACTTCTATGATTATTATATTTCTTTTAATCTTTTCTTTTATTAGGGAAACAATTTAGATCCTTAACAACTATTGATTATGAGCGAGTTGAAGAAATTAACTTGAAGGAAGGATTTTCGAAAACTTTTTACCTAATATCTTTTATGCGTTGTGAATTTTATTCACATGTTATTTAAACTTTCCATGTGAAATTGATTAAACAAGTTTAAACTGCTTTTGATTTAAGGATTGTCTGGGTTAGTTGGGTGAACTTACAACATAATGGTGTTTCATAATTTCTTTTAAAAAAAAAAAACCGTTACATATTTAGTATTTGGTAACATTTTTTTTATTATTTATCAATTTAATTGTAATGGCTATAGCTTAATTGGCTAGCAGATTAGAATTATTTTGCTTTTTATAATTAAATTATTTTATAGTTACTCTGAAAAGTTAAAGCTTTAATTTTGAAAAATATATTAGATTTAAAAAAAATAAAAATGCAATGACAAAAATTACCACCTCATTCCTCAAGTGAATTACTCAATACTTGGTATAATAGGTAAGATAAATTTTTAGAACAAAGTTAAAATTACAATATCACATATAGGATTTTAAACTTACAATATGTTATTAAATGAATGTGATATGTTATTAAATTAATAAATACATACAAAATCATTGATGAACTCTAAGTGAAAAAAATCAATTACAATATATAATAATATATCATATTATAAATTTACAATACTATATAGGTTAAATCCCCATTTTGATCCCTCAACTATTGTACGAACCCCTTATTTGATCTCTAAATTAAAAAAATCCCTGATTTGATCTATCTACATTGTTTACTAATTTGACCCCAAGTTGATCATTTCATTAAAAAAGAACTGACGTGTTTGTTACTTAACAATAAAAAACTATTATTTAACAGTCATGTGTCACATTAATAATGAGACATGTCAGCTGTTTTTGTACCAAAAGACCAACTTGGAGCCAAATTAGTAAATAATAAGGACCAAATCAAGGATTTTTTTAGTTCAAGGACCAAATTAGGGGTTTTAACCTCCTATATAATTATAAGACTCTTAAAATAAATTGGAATCCTAACTTTAAACTACGTCATTTTATATTTAATTAAAACGCAATTCAAAATTTAAATATCAAATTTTAATAAGATGGATTTTTAAATTTAGAATTGAGTTTTAATTAAATAAAATGATATAGTTTAAAGTTGGGATTCCAATTTATTTTGAGGGTGTGGACTGATTAGAATATATAATCAGTTTTTAAATTTAAATATCAACATTTAATAGGATGAATTTTTGAATTTAAAATTGAAATTTTAATTCCTAAATATAAGATTCTAATTTTTTAAAAAAGCTAGAATTAATATGTATTAATCTCATATCATAATATATTATTTTCAAAATTTTTACCAAATGAGTAAAAGGATACGTGAGAGTAAAAACATATCTGCAGGTAATGGGTAAGGACAATGCAATATCCTACCTTTATCTCGCCTATTGTCATTCTTAAGTTGTAGCCCTAGTCCTAGAATCTTCTTTATATGGTTTGATAACCATTAAAAGGTTCCACATTGATTAGAATAGAGGAGTAAGAGTTTGTTACTAGTATAATTTGTTACTAGTATAAGATTAGGTAAGCCCTTCTTAATAAAATTATTGTAAATAAATGAGGAAATTTCTAGGTTGAAATGAAAAATAGAAAGTCAATCAAATTTGAACAAAAAATGAAAAGTCAATTAAATTTTACAATTGAAACAAATAATGGAAAGTCAATAAAATATGATAAATTGGAAAAGGAAAAGGTTTTCTTTCATTTTTAATTTTTTAAAATAGAGATTAGACATATATCAAAACCTTCCAAAATTATTTGGAAATAAAGAACACAATACAATTTTAATGAAATTCACTGTGATTATGTTGGAAAAAGGAAACAAAATCAATCCTCTAGGCAAAAATAGAATTGAATCTGTTATATAAATAAATGCATTTGGTTCTCATTGTAAAAGAAAAAATGGAGGGAGAGAATGGAGATGAAGAGTACCTGAAAGATGAAACAGAAAGCAGGGGAGAAATACTGGTGGCGAAGGTGGTGACTGATGAGCAAATTCAGACACTGAGAAAACAGATTGCTGCTTATACAATCATCTCCGAGCAACTTCGGCGTATGCACGATGTTATGTCGGTACAATATTTGGCCGGTATGTTCTGTTTCCACAAAATTTAATATAATAAATCTGCGATTCCAATTTACGTTAGAAAAGTTCACTAATTTTCTTGTTTTCTATGATTTAGAAACAGGTTCATTCTATAATCTCTATGGCGATCCTTACCTGACATTCACCAGCTCTAGGATCGCCTCAAGGAACCGTTGGACTCCAAAATCGACGCAGCTTAAGATCCTGGAGCATGAGTTTGAAGAATGCAATGGCAACCCCGGAAAACAGAAAATCACAGAGATCACTGCCCAACTGGCACAGCATGGCCCTATTACTGAGAGCAGCGTCTACAATTGGTTCCAGAACCGGAGAGCTCGGTGTAAGAGAAAAAAATTGGAAGGTGGAGAAGCACCTGAGACGAAGAACGAAGCTTGTAAAAAGAAGAGGAAGAAACCCGATAGCAGCAAGACCGTTGAGAACGCAGCATCCTCGACCACATGGAAGGCGGAGAATCTTCACTCACAGAGTGCAGAGATAGGCAACCAAATGCTTCCGTTCGATTATTTTAGTTTAACTTCTGTAGGAAGTTTTGGCTGTGGAGGATGGGATGAGCAGTTTGAAGGAAACCAGCTGTTTGGGTGACATTGATGCTTCTTGGTCTTTTCATGTATTAGAAAATATTTTTTCAATAAAAAGGATACAACCATTCTCATTCTTTTCAAACTCGGTAAAGATACACAAAATAATAATTTAATATAAAATCTAATAATTTAATTATAA